CCTGAAATCACCTGAAATCACCTGAAATCACCTGAAATCACCTGAAATCACCTGAAATCACCTGAAATCACCTGAAATCACCTGAAATCACCTGAAATCACCTGAAATCACCTGAAATCACTTGAAATCATCTGAAATCATCTGAAATCATTCCATTGGAAGTATACTTAGGTCATCATATACTATATATTGCTGGTACCTTTGGGTCATCATACACTATATATTAGGGGTACCTTTGAGTCATCAGCTACTACTTAGGGCATACCAAAAGTAATGACCCCACCCTCATAATATTGTATATAAGGCTTATGAATTTTTTTTCTCTCATTTATTCTGATAGAGCAAGTTTCGCTCTATTATTCTACATATTTCATAAATCTTCAAATGTATAGAAATTTAAAAAAATAATGAACGATTTCAAGTCGCCTGGACTATCTTCGAAATTTTACTATGAAAATGCGAAAGAGTTTACCATTTATGCGTAAAAAACAAATAAAGTACGTGGATGTTTTATACATACACGTGACTGGATAAGAAATTAGTCGAAAAGAAAAGAAAAGAAAATGTGCGAATATGTAAAAAGAAAAAAGATAAGAACAGAAACCACATGTTCTAGGCGACACATCATAGTGCTTGCGACGTAGATTATAAGAGAATCAACCACTCATCGCTCTTCTAATGGATAAAGAACACTTTTGTTTCTATATTAAAGTGCGTACTGCACTTCATATTCAACTAACAGTCATTCATAAAGAATTACATACTGTCTTTGGTGATCAAGCTCCCCTTCTCAGAACTGTTCAAAGGTGGCCAAAATCGTTTCGTGAAGGTCGAGAAGAAGTTGAAGATGAAGAAAAATCTGAAAGACCTGTAACGGAGACAACACCTGAAAATGTCGACTGGATCCGTGATCTTATCAATGATGATCCTTATCTTACAGTTGACGAGATCGAAGAACAAACGGGTTTAAGTCATGGCACTGTGCAACGAATCATTTCTGACCATTTACAGTTGAGAAAAACTACCACTCGTTATGTTCCTAAACATCTAACAAATTCTCAGAAGGCTGAACGGGTGCGTATATGTCAGGAGAATTTATCAAAATTTGAACAAGGTGTTTGGAGATTAAGTGATGTGGTGACAAGAGATGAATCATGGTTTTATCACAAGCAAATCGGTCGAAAGTCGTCAAAAGCTGCTTGGGTAGCACGTGGAGGTGCCCAACAACGGTGGTTCGACGTAGTCGCTTTGCTCCTAGAACGTTCCTGTCTATTTTCTTTAAGTCAACTGATTCAGTTTTGGTTCATCGTGTTGAACGTGGACAAACAATTGATCATGAATATTACATCGACAATTGTTTGGCGCCTGTTCTCGAAGAAATTAAGAACCAACGACTCTCTTTAGGCGTTCATGGGATTAAACTCCATCATGACAGTGGCAAACCACACATTCATAAAGCTGTGGTCATTATCTGGAATCTGAAGGCGTGACGATTATGCCACACACACCTAACTCGCTAGATCTGGCTCCGTGTAACTTTTGGTTGTTTGATTTAATCAAACAGAATCTCGGTGATCAAGATAATGCCGAGTCGTTATATGAAGCTGTCGTGAAGTTCATGAAATCATTGAAGAAGGAAGAGTATAAAAAGACTTTCGACAAATGGACTGAACGGATGAAGTTATATATAAACAATCAGGGAAAGTATTTTGAACATTTGTTATAATAAAACATGATGAAATTGCGGCAAAAAATTTTTTTTTTGACGACTCAGATACTTTTCCCCTCATACTTTGAATATGTTATTACTGTTTAAAGATTTATAAAATATGTAGAACGATAGAGCGAAACTTGCTCTATCAGAATATATGAGAGAAAAAAATTCCATAAGCTTTATATACAATATGATGAAGGTGGCATCATCACTTTTGGCATGCCCTAAGTAGTTATACATGGTTTTGTAGAGAATTTCAAGCATTATCTTTTCATAAAAAAATTTCTTGTAATCACAGGAATAATAGAGGAGAAATCTTAAAAATACTCATAGGGCAATTATTTATGGTCCACCCGTTGTAGCAGTAATTTTTTCTGAGAAAAAATAGTTAACATCAGGGTGTGGATATGGATCTTTAAATAAATATGCACCCACTTCTACACCCTAATCCTTCAACAGGGTCTCATCTGAACGTGCACTGAACTCGTTATTCTGCACGCACTCGATACGAACGTTTCGAACGCATTTTCTTCTTCGTTCTCGTCGATGGAAATGATATAATAATATAATAATAATAATAATAACGTCCCATAGGCTTATCACCCGTTGGGGCCGACCGCGGTTATTATTTAGTTTCCACATGCAGCCGGGTTCTTTCGTCTTTTTCTTTTTACAGACGGCGGTATCTGCATCTTCTTCCGTCCAACATACTGACCAAAGATGTAGTCAGCACGAATGACTCATGTGGAATGAGTCATTTTTAGACAACTTAGCCGTTAGTGACTTGTCCAGGGTCATTCCATGGGTGATGTACTGAGGTTTGAACACAGTACCTTGCGGGTATGTGCCGAACAACGTAACCACTCAACCATGACGGCTGATGGAAATGATGCTCTTGATAAAAACCAAGTAATAATGCCTTGTTTCAATGATGAGAAGTTTTCTGATAAGATAAACGAAAGAAAAACTACTTAAGACTTGTATTTACGTAGAAACAGAAAAAACGCTCGAATTCTCAGTCTATTTAAAATTTTGTCATTGTATTGCACAGTAATATTCGGTGTTGTTTTCGTCACTGGCGATCGATTGTCTGAACCTTACGATGTTCGAGTCGATTACTATAAAACTGAAACATAACGAAAGATTTTGTCACTAACACAGGTCGACCACGTTTTTCTTGGAAATCACCTTTGACCAGCCAACGCAATGTTCAACAGACTGCTTATCAACTGCAAATCCGGTTGAAGAGGGCACATCTCTGGAACAGTGATCGTATCACTTCAAGTCAATCGATTCATGTTCCTTATCCATACGAAAAAGATCTTGAAGAATTGACTCATTATTAGGGATGTGCAGTGTCAGTGAAAAAACTGAAAAACTGACAGTTATGCACTGACACTGACGCCAACTGACTACAGTGACTGCACTGACGTGGTGTTTACTGACACGGTGACTATACCGACACTGATGTTCACTGATAATACTGACAACACCGATGGTGATATGCACTGATGCTCACCGATCATACTGACGACACCGACATGGCAGTTCACTGACATAGTGACTGTCACTGACACTGATCCCACTGAAAGACTGATTCATTGACTCTATCAGTGTAAGCGCTTTCTCTACTTTCGTTTATAGTCATAAAAGAAAATTCATGATAGATGCATATCCATTCCACTCAAAAATACCATTTTAGACGGTCTGTAATATTGAACAGGCCAGTGTCTCAAAAATGCATCACTTCTGATTTTAAACTTAATGTACGATTATCCTCGTTTAATCTATGGTTCTTCTACAGAAAAACTCTCTTGCTTTTTTAAGATACTAAACATAAAACTGTATTTTTGTTGAAGTATTCAAGGAAGATACATACATGTCAAACCTGAAAGTTGAATTCAATTATTGAATAATTGAAGTTTAACTCTTCAACTATTCAATTANTGTGGGTGTGGGTGTGGGTGTGGGTGTGGGTGTGGGTGTGTGGGTGTGGGTGTGGGTGTGGGTGTGGGTGTGGGTGTGTGAGGGTGTGGGTGTGGGTGTGGGTGTGGGTGTGGGTGTGGGGTACGGCTTTGGACGTGAATGATAATAATAACACCCACACCCCACACCCTAGGCCTCAGTGATTGATGTTGATCCCCAAAAATTTGGCTGCACTTTTAAATCAAATAGTGGAGAGCGAAGGTACACAACGTTTTAGAGCACTGTATAATCAGCATAAAAATGTGTGCAGTCGTATTTTTTGTTTGAAAAACTTGAATCAGCCAGACATCGTTTTCTTCAGAAATTGTTATATCAGAACATGCAGTTTTTCACGGGCTATCTTCTGGTGTCATAAAATCTATGGATAACCTCCATTCTCAAGTCTAAAGGCTCAAAATACTTTGAAAAAGTGTGACAAATTCAAGTTATTTTTTGTTAGAAATTGCTTTGTTGGACCTTGTTTGTCCACATAATAGTGTTTGTGGAAAGTCCGAAAAAGTATGGCCTAAGTGAAAAAACAATGCTCTTTCTTTTTGAAAGAGACATGGCTATGTTAATGCTCGAAATAGTGGAGTGCTTTTGTACTAGACTAAAAGTGCAAAAAATGATCATTTTTTTTCTAGGTTGATAGACCCCTCTGTCGAAGTGTACTTCAGAACTCAGCAACGACTAATCTGATCAAACTAATATTCTGGATTTAGTAATAACTCTCTACCATCTTTCTTTTGACATAATCAAATCCAAAATCAAAATTTTTTCCACGGGCCAATATATCTGGAATTCTGGCGGACCCTCTCTTAAATAAGCAAAAGTTTTGATACTCTTAAGTTTTCCCGTAGCTTTTATAAATTTTCGTCTAGAAAATTAACTACACGCACAGAAAAAACAAACAGAGCATGTGTGTTTCATATGTATAAACGAAGATAAATATCAAAAAAGTTAAAAAGACTGAGAAAAGAAAGAGAAGAGAGGAGAAAGTTAAAAGGAAAAAAAGAAGAGGACAGAAATATTACGCTGAAGACAATATAGCATATTATTTCTAACATACACCATAATACGATCAAAAGTATTCACCTCTTTTCAAATGGATAAGGAATATTTTCGTTTCTACATTGAAGTGCATACTACACTTCATATTGAACCAATAGCTATTCATAATGAATTGCATACTGTCTGTGATGATGAAATTCCTCCTCTCAGAACTGTTCAAAGATGGTAAAAATGGTTTCGTGACGGCCGAGAAGAAGTTGAAGACGAAGAAAGACCTGGCAGATCTATAACGGAGACAACATCTGACAATATTAGACAAGTTCGCGATCTTATTAATACTGATCCTTATGTTATAGTTGACGAACTCAAAGTACAAAGTGGTCTAAGCTATGACACCAGCCAGAGAATTTTTTCTGATCATTTGCAGTTGGAAAAACGTTATTGCACGCTATGTTTCGAAACATCTGACGAACTTTCAAAAGGCTGAATGAGTACGAATATGTCAAGAAAACTTCTTAAAATTTGAACAAGGTGTTTGAAGATTATGCGATGTAGTAAAAGGTGATGAATCATGGTTTTATCACAAGGAAGTCGGTCGAAAATCATCGAATGCTGCTTGGGTAGCACGTGGAGATTCTCCTCCAACTGTGATTCGACGTGGTCATTTTGCTCCAAAAACTCTGCTGTATATTTTTCTCAAATCAACTGGTTCAGTTTTAATTCATTCTGATAAACGTAGACAAACAATCGATCATCAATATTACATCAATAAGTGTTTGCGACCAATTATTGATGAAATTAGGAAGCAACGACCTTCCTTAGGTGTTCAATCAATTAAACTTCATGATGATAATGGAAGACCACATATGCATGAAGATATAGTCAATTATCTTCAATCGGAAGATGTAACAATAATGCTACGCCCATCTAATTCTCCAGATCTGGCTCCATGCGATCTTGGTTGTTTGACTTAATCAAACAAAATCTAGACGATCAAGATGATTCAGAATCGTTGCAGGAAGCTGTGATCAAATTTATGAAGTTGTTGAGAAAAGAAACGTATAAAAAAACTTTTGATAAGTGGATTCAACGAATGCATCTGTGTATAAACAACCGAGGTGATTATTTTGAACATTTGATGTAATAAAAACATGATAAACTTGGTTCAAAAGAAGTTTTTTTTGTCAATCACTCATTATTTTTGCTTCGTTTCCAATATTATATATTGTTTGAAGATTTAAGAAATATTGTAGAATTATAGAGCTTAACTTGGGCTGTTAGGATATGTAGAGAAAAAAAATTCCTAAAGGCTTCTGTAAAATATTACAGAATCGGCGTCATTACTTTTGGTATGCCCTAAGTAAAATACAATTTATTAAATTATCCGTTATGGAACACAAAAGAAAAAGACAAGAATCGATACAGAATAAATAATATATTTGAATATCTATTTGAAACTACAATCAACTGTTTTAACGACTATATTTTTCTTTTTATGAAGTTCTATACTCATCACTTTCATGCACTACAGTTAATGTTGCAAAAGAATAAGTTATGAATTAAACATCTTTTAGAGAAAACATTCAACGCAGTGGTTAATCATCGCAGCCGCCACTCTCATCCGTGGCAGAAGCAGCACAACGAGGTTTCGGTTCCATTATTGTTTTGATCGTGCGATTAGGAGGCGCTGAGCATTCGTAAGTTATAATTGGTCGATGTATCGATTCCTTAGACCTAAAACAAAGACATGATAAGTTTTATATCAACGGATATAACTTACTCTCGTTTTTCGTTGCCATCGTTGATTTTACATTGATTTGTCTTGTCCATATGTAGATAGGTGAAAAAATAAATGATGCAAGAAAAAATGCAAAACGAAATAAATGCATAAGAGATAATGTTTTTCTATTGTTTCTTTTTTTTTCTACTCATAAATGAAGACATTTTCGTAGTTAAGGTAAATATGATTACTTTATTGATAGAACCTACGTTTTTTAATGCCGTGAATGCAATCTTTATGTTTACATGATATTTATAAAAGAAAGTTTATCTTTGACGATTGACAGTTCGAAAAGCCATTGATGAATTGAAAAGCTAAGTTTGTATCCGATGCTTGTTTTCGGATTTGGATTTGATTTAGATTTAGTTTTCAATCACCCGAATCGTTTGGCTTTGGTAGTATAATTTTTCAGTACTTTATTCTTATTAGTGTTCTAAAACTCTTATTATCTATATATATGTAATGTTTAGTGTGTGTCTGCTGTGCCAGGTCAAGGGTTAATGGTCGAATAACGCTATAAGGGGAAGGTGCCAAGGGATATTATATGGAGGTACCTCATAAGTTCTCATAGGTTATTATATGGAAATACCCGTAGATCCTCAAGAGCTATTCTATGAAGATACCTATAGTTTCTCAAAGAGTGTCGTATGGAGGTATCCATAGGCCCTGAAGGGTGTAACACAATAAGGGGAGAAGGCTAGAAGAGATACAAGGGATATACGGCTGCATGGACTATAAATAGGTATGTGCATATTCGATTTATCAGTAACTGACGTCACCGAAGGACGGTCCATTGAGCACTGGATAACACTGCGGTGTTATCACTGATATTGGAACGAAACCGACACCAAAATCATTGCTACACTATCGTTTGCTACAGCACCGACATTTCAGTTACCAATGATCACACCGAAACGGTGTTTAGCGGAACACTATACACTGATCTTTTTTCGATGATTTTTATTTCTGCCTTTAATATTATAACAACTTCCGTTATTGAGAAAGGAACTCATTAGAGCGTGAGTATGAGTGTAGATGTTGGGTGGAAAAGAAGAATCTATACCACTCACACCCACCCACAATCATCATGCTGAACTAGAAAATCAGAACTAGTGCTATCCTATAATATCAAATTAATTAAATGAATCGCAAGGAACTGTACAGACACTACAGTGGGAATCACAGTACAGAAGAAAAAAGTTTTAAGAAGCTGCCATCTTTTCATACAACTTCCTAAGTGTCATTTAACTATTATAGAAATTTACTCTTTTGGATATAAACTTGACTCAAACGGGAACATCAACTTTTGATTCTCGTTACAGATTCAAGATGAAGGCAATAAATGAGTTTATAATTTTAGAACTTTTCTCTTGATAAGCGTCTTTGTATATCACTCAAAGACTTTGTGAATAAATGAGTCTAAACTATGAAAAAATAAAACAAAATAAAGACTTATGAGGAAGGATCTGAGTTTGCAACATTATTTACGAATGAAGGATAAAGTTAACCATGAAACAAGTAAGAAAAGTTGGCTTAATTATTCAAAAATTAGATAATTCACCTTCATGATGCTTACAGATAGTGTCTGTGGATTCATTTCTGTATCTGTCATTGAGAGTTATAAACAGAATTGTACAAGATCATATACTATGAAAGAATCAGTGTCTCAGTATTCCACTGAACGCCATTTCGGTGTGATCAGTAGTCACTGAAACGTTGATGCTGCAGCGAACAAGCGTGTATCAGTGATTTCGGTATCGGCTTCGTTCCAGTACTAGTGACAACATCGCAGTGTTATTCAGTGCTCAATGGACGTTCTTCGGTGGCGTCAGTGTCGGTATTTACAGGTTTTGCACACTGATCGCACATTCCTAACTATAAAAATACATGTGACATAAGAGTACAAGTCTGTAAGGCTTCGATCTATACACATAATATCGCGTTTCTGTATGTCTGTTGTCAAATGAACAGTTAAATGTCTGAAGTCATATGTTAAACGAGAAGCCAGCCGTATAGTATGCACGAGTTCTTGCTAGTCTGGCTACAGTTGCAGTTATTAAAGTTGATTTTATGTTCGTGCAGGCTATTAGAAACCTATCTGGGTGATGATTTTTTCATAGTATTCGCTACAGATTAGTTTCAACATTTCTGCAGTATCATAGAATTCTGATGTATTTTCATATGTGAAACGACTCTGATGAAACTGTTGATAACGTATTATGCTTTATTTGAATTTCCAGGAAATCCATTTGCGTTTGCGAACAATCCTCTTGTTGTCTATTAATCAAGATATAGGAGTTATAGAGAGGTATAGCAGGTGTAGGAGCTATAGGAAGTATAAGGAGATATACAAGGCACATGAGATATACGAAGTATAAGGAGGTATAAGGATGTATAGAAGATTTTGGAGATATAGATTAACTGGTACAGCTGATCATTCAATGATCTTTAAATTTAAATATCTATTTATAAAATATATATTGCTGCCACTTGCTAAACCTTGCTGAAAAACATAAATTTCTATACCTCCTATATCTCCTTATATCTAATATATCTTGATACATAGGAAATAAAAGGGTTGTCAGGAAATTCAAATAAACCATCTAATCGTTGATTACAGGAACATTAAATTCTGTTCCATTCGAAGTTCCATAGTCATAAAACCCAACATTCTTTTTACTGACAAGAACCCGTACATACTGCATAGCTGACTTCTCCTTTAACATAGGACTTCAGATACTTAACTTTTCATTCAATAACAGACCTACAGATACGCGATATTATGTATATAGATCGCAGCCTTGCAGTCTTCTACTCTTATATCGCACATATTTTTATAGCCCATATAACCTTATATCTCTTATACCTCTTGGAGCCTTATCCATTTATTGTGTTATATCCTTCAGGGCCTATGGATATCCTATAGGACGGCTCTTGGGAATCCATGAGTACTTCCATATAATATTCCTTGGCACCTTCCCCTTATAGCGTTATTTGACCATTAACCCTTGACCTTTGACCTGGCACAGACAGAAACAAACATAGACACACAATGAACATTACATATATGAATATCTGAGCAAATCGAAAGCTATTTGTTAGATTTGTATAAACCACGAAACAAAGCCAAATCGAGCTCCGAAATCTAAACTACAAATCCAAACCAGTACCGAATCTCGAACTACGGATCCCAAACTGAATCCAAATTTATTTCAGGATTTGTTGCATTCCTAAGTGAAACCGTCGATTTCTACAAAACCGACAACTTATAAAGCACAATTCAATAGTGTTATCTTTTAATTGCACTTTTAAAAAGACACGCATACTGATTATGTTGTTTTTTAATTCTTTTTATGTCCATATCACCGATGATTCTTGACATGAATAATTTTTATCCATTTCGTTACCTATTCTCGTTTGTGATTAGTAATGAGAATGAAATTTATATGCTGGCCTCTGTAATAATGATAGTTACAAAAAGAATGATAACTAGAAAAGTTGGTCTTTACTTTAATTTTAAAAAATTGATTAAATCTGTCTGATTTAGGTTGATGTATTTTGGCAGACGAATGAATAAACAGATGAGATAATGCGATCGTCAAAGACGTCAATTTTTTTATATCGTTCCTGTTATTAAATGCCCTGCAAAACAAAACTCATACCAGCTAATAGTATCAGTTAACATTTATAACAAAAGGAATTCTTTTAGTGAGGCAATTCAAAGAAACAAAGTTTTTCATGTTAACAAGACATTATCATCGGCGACTATACTCTAAGATCTATGCAATTATTATTTTCCTCTTTCTTTTATTTTGCGATGTTGAGAACGAAAAAGCTAGAAAAGAAAATAATAAATGATTATGTCTTGGATTATAAGCACTGATGATGATGTCTTGATGACCTTAAAAGCTTTTCTTTTTTAAGTTGTCTTAATAAATTTGTTCGCTATGTTGTAAAAAGCAATTCTGTATCCATGACAGTAGCGTAGCACCCTTCTCAAAGAGCATTATTCATAGATGAATTTACCTTTGCTATTACGCAACTGAATATCTTTATCTTAGTCTCACGCCTATGTTTAGTATATCTTTTGAAAATTTGAAAGTTTTCTGAATCTACCCATGTCTTTTCTCATATTTATATATAACTATTGCAGGGAATACAGATAAAGAATATGTAACTGTTTTAATATTCGTA